GAGAGAGAGAGAGACTGGAGCATCACGCCTGTAGGACATTCATCAATAACAGTAGACAGGTGGGGACCTGAGGGAGAGACAGAGACCTTCGTTAAGCGACTCTCCAGGAAGACTTGACACGTCCCCTGACGGGTTGCTGGGCGTCAGGAGGGAGAAACGGGGGAAGGGGCTGGCAGGCAGACACGGTGTAAACGGCCTGAGCGTGAACTACTTCAAGGGATTAAGAGAAATAATAAAAATATTTAATTAATAACATATCGTAAGCGACAACTTCTCCAAATGACGAGAGACTTTATCTATCTATCTATCTATCTATCTATCTATCTATCTATCTATCTATCTATCTATTTATCTATCTATCTATTTATCTATCTATCTATCTGTTTGTCTATCTACAGTATGTGGCCAGCACAGTACAAACATTTAACAAAATTTGGTCTTATTACAGGTGTGTGTGTGTGTGTGTGTGTGTGTGTGTGTGTGTGTGTGTGTGTGTGTGTGTGTGTGTGTGTGTGTGTGTGTGTGTGTGTGTGTGTGACTGACTTTCTAGTATATTGTGTTCTGCTCTGACTTGGGTGACCGGGGAACCGTCCTTAAGGCGGCTGGGTTTAGGTGGTAGGTCTTGGAAGAGGACAGGTGAATGAAATTAAAAATATTAATTCGGAAGTAGAGATGTAGATGTAACTATGGCAGAGTTGAGAGAGGATCTTTGACAAGGGTTCAAACGAGTATCAATGTGGATTATATTATTAAGTGGTGAGGTTAAACTGAGAATAGACTAATTATTAACTTTATCTCGTGAAGGAAGGATTAGCACAGATGGATGAAGGTAAAGAGAATGAAGGGATAATGGATAAGCAATACTCACAAGCAATTTCTATGCAAAATTGCAGTAACCTTGAATGCAAATCTACTGATGACATTACTGTGTTTACAAAGTGAGGACGGAAGTTTGTTACTTTGCCTCTGCTAAATAAGACTGGAATAATAAAAGCAAGCACAAAACAACAAAGAGTTTACGTATGGTTGAGAGAACAGTCAAATACAATAGAGGGGAAGTAGTGTAGGCTGCTACTGGGTAAAAGGATGAAAGGACAAGTGTACTGAACCACACACACCACTTGACTTCACCTCCAGCGATGCTTGTGTGCAAGAAGGGGAATACGAAACTAGTTGACCTACGGTGGGCGGGGTTTGGGAGACATGTAGGTACTTTATAAACGGTGGATCTCATCTACCAGCGACACTCACCCACTGGGTCTGCCATCTTCCTCTAGTCATGAAGGTTCTGGTGAGTTAATTATATCTCTATTGGAAATAATAATGATAGACTTACACATCGAGTTTTCCTGTAGACAATATTCACGGATCACAAATATGTCGTGAACAACGAGGATGTCACTCACTTAGGATATTGCAATGACAAGAAAAAACAAGTGGCACTCAAACCTGGAGGACGAAGGAATATTAACATTAGATCAATTATCTTTGTTCCACTTCGTTTATTATCATCTTATTCCTTTGTCCAATATATTTATCGCTGTCACTAAGTTTATTGTATCTTCCCGTTGATGATTAATTTTGATATATATTAAGCTACTAAATAAATACGTATATACATATTAACGTCCCTCGAATAAAAATTAATCTTGTTTCCAATCACACAGTGCTTGTAATACATCAGTAAAATGTTCCTATGGTGATATTACACGTTAGCTGCATAGAATCTAAGTTGTAGTGGTTCAGTGACTGATGATAGTGCCTCATGGGTCCTGCACGAGTATACGTCAACCAAGTTCTCACATAAAATTAACTGCACAACTTAGATGTTATTATCCATAAAACGTCTTTATTTAAGTATAGATTATACTGTCATCCATCTATACACTAATTATTACCCCCTTGTTAGGTCATTCTCCTGTTGGCTGTAATGGCGGCAGCAGATCAGAGGCTTGAGACAAAACCTTTCTCTGTTGGTGACATCAGGTACGAGGGCCCGACCATCCACGGTGCTAGCAAGAGAGAGAGTGTGTCTACCAACGTCCGCTACCTGCAGCCCCAACACTCGTACGATTATAAGACTATACCCTTTCTCGTGTATCCTTACTAGCACGACGACCGGTACCCGCTGTATTACCTCCATTAGACACCCTGACATGTTTAAGACAGACGATGATGAAGTGTTACTACATCACTAATTACAGTATTATGCTTCATCAACGTTGAGGAGAGAAAAAAAACACAATTGCAGGTGAAATATTTATACCAACCAGTTTAGTATAAATAATTCGTCTGTCATTCTGGGGATTCTCTCTTAGGGTGTTGTTCGCGTTATGGTGGTTCTTAACTGTGGTATGAAAGTGTATCAGTACTGTATGTGTTAGTTAAGTGATTTACCAGACACTTGCCACAGCACGAGATCTCATCAACAGTCTAGTTAATGTCTATTTGTATAAGGTGTGTTAAGGGTGAAATAAACAACTAAAATGGAAAATGATCACTCGTAATATATATAGTTCCTTAACAACGATACTTTAGGTAATTGAGTACAATACTTCTCTATTTATGAAAAATTCCTTAAATCATTGTGTTTCAGGGGATAAAAACACCTATTTTAACTCTCAGAGCGACACCCACTTAAAATTTGCAATATAAGAATGAACGATGGCTGTTAAGTACTATTTATTTTAAGATACTGATTGTTCAGTCTAAGAGTAATAACTGGGTGGTGGCGCTACACGTAAGTTGCATCAAACATCGACTTTGGAATGATAGCAAAATAGAACTTCATTGAGGCTGGTAATAAAGACTTAGTGAAATTGAGATGAAGTAACTCTGGCTATACTTAACAATGGTAACTCAATCAGGTGTTTGAAAGTTATATCCAAGGAGTAAATTTATTGATATGTCAGAGGATGGGCTTCTCTCATAATAGTCATAGATTTATTTTCTAAAATTTATTCAGAAAGATTAAGCATAAGATAAACTTCAATATATCTGCAACCTAAGATGTGGCGCTCACTGACTTTCGACTAAATTGAACGGAAAAAAAAATATACTCGAAGGAAAAAGGAAAGAAAATAAAGGAAACACCAGAAAGATTTAGAACAGCCAATAACAAACACTATTTTGGTACGCAAATTTTCGTTCATGTCCATCTCACTTCGTCTTGGTGGCTTCCTTTTCCCATTATCTTCTCTCATTTGTTTTCCTCTCTCTCTCTCTCTCTCTCTCGTCGTCTCCAGTGCTTCAATCAGCTAACTCCATTCTTATCTCCTTTCTTCATTTCTCTTCCTTTCTCTTTTCATTTCCCTTGTGACCTCGAGGCAATTTTCACTCTGACCATTACCCGGCGACCTCCAGTCATGCAGTCCAGGTCAGAGGCTCTTGTTGTCGCGAAATTTCTGGCTAAATGGAATAAGTCGTGAGAAATTGCCCTTACGCTACACTGATGATGATTATATAAGAAATAAACAAAATTAAATGATGTGTTAATATATAGCTGCCCTGCATTAGTTATGGTCTTTAATTAAGCAAGTATTCTAGAGTAAATAGATCCACGTGTTATTAAAATTACTAGCGGTATTGGAAAGAGACCGTTGAGCGTAATAACGTGAACTCCATGTTGCAAGGTGGAAAATATTATGGTGGATTATGTCATGAATGAGTTGTCATGATGGTTGGTATAATTTAGTGACACCATGTAGGACTTAAAATCTTGAAAGGAAGAGAAGCGTAAGATCTCTACGGTATAACGTAACGTAAGCCTGATCATACAAGCTACAGCTCTCTCGGACTCGTCAGGAGCCTGCACCGAATACCTCCTTATACTCAAGAGACAGAAAGTTAGTGAGGTCTGGGTGAATTAATATCCATCCATCCTATACATTTGAGGAGAGACTGCACCGTGTAACTCTCTGGCTCTAATACACTGAGAGGATGATCGAGAAATGAATTATGTTGTTTAGTAACCCGTCAATGGATATGAAGAAAAGTTCTAGATAAGACTGCAGACGCCGCTGCTGCTTTTCAGATTTAATATGCTTCCTTATGTGAAGGTAGAATTCAACAAGTATTTAATGATATTCCTAAATGAGCTGACACTGAAATGCGTGACGAAGCTTTTTTTTTTTTTTTACGGGGACTAGCCCACCTGACCACAGGTCATCGACCCATAACGGAGCCTAGGGGGCGGAAAAATAAGAGTTAAAAGAAAATAAAAGTAGAAAAGAAAAAGAGTATATTAATCTACATCATGAAGATGCCGGAAACCAGCTTTTTGAAGTGAGGCAGATTGTATGAATATGGAAACACAGAAGAAGGCAGAGCATTCCACATATTAGCTGTGTGAGGAAAGAAGGATGTACTATAACAAGGTTATTCTAGTGTGATCGACATCCACAGAGAAATGGTGGGCACTGCGGGCAGGACGAGTGTTGGGAGCCCACGGCCAAATCCATCGAACATTACCCGTTAAAGTACCTGTAAAAGAGAGACTAATGCAACATTGCGGCGAAGAGAAAAGGAAGAAATATTACCAACTAAAAGAGGAGAGTCAATAAGACGAAATGCCTTTGATTCCACCCTATCTAACAGTTGGACAGAAGAAGAGCCACCCCAGATATGAGAGCAAAACTCCAAGTTAGGACGAATGAATCCTTTATAAACTTGAAGCAACTGCTCACGAGTGAAGTAGCTACGGCATCTGTACAGCATTCCCAGCTTTCGGGAGGCAGCTTTAGCAATGTTGTGGATGTGTGGCTTCCATGACATAATAGAGGAAATAGTGAGGCCTAGCAATATCTATTTTCGAATTTGGCAGAATGATTACGTCCTGAAATGTGATTGGTGGGAGATCATCTAATTTGAAAAGTGTAATAGGTATATACTGAGTTGAAGAGGTTGGTGCGTTAAGGTTCGGTGCCCACCAGTGTATATGTAGGAGGAGAATCTATTGAATGTGTAACTATCGGATGAATAGGTAAGACAAATATAACATCCACATGTGAAATGATTTTATTACTATACTATCGCAGTGCTCTTAACGTACAATATACAAACAGTAGTTTTGTCACATCAGTAAGCGTGTCCAACAGGCGCGGGTACCACCAAACAGTAGTGGGTGTGGGGGTGTCTATACGTAATGGTAGGGATTGTAATAGTTGCGGCCTCTATTAGACGGGTATACGGGACGAGTGCGTAGGTGATGGTGTACTGGGAGACTGTGGACCCTGTAGTTAGAGCGTTGGCGGGGCACGTAGAGGTTGTTGCCGGGGTCAGCTTCCCTTTTACCAACACCATGCAAAGTCGGTCCCACGTAGCTGGTGCCACCACCATAGTGGCGGGCCACACCATGACGATGTTGGCCATAGCTATGCCCGTGAGGGCCATAGTAACCGTGAGTGTTGCCACGGTAGCCGTGAGTGTGGTCTTGGTAGCCATGAGTGCGGCCATGGTAGCCTGAGTAACCATGGGAAGGTTCAGCTTCACGTTTCTGCTCTGCCGCCACCATGGCAGCCAACAGAAGAACGACCTGCCAGGTGACAAAGGAAATACATTATTCACAAAATTACATAAGCATCTAGAAAAACTAAATATTGGTTCCTATTACATAATTTTAATGATAATGTTATGTACACTTCCTTCTGGAACTTGTGAAGAAGAGTTAAGACAGAGCTGGTGGTGAAGTGTGTCGCAGTACGTCACTAGTATGTTGTAATCGCACTGCCCCTAACACTCCGATGGGGACTTCGTCAACGTAAGAAAAGAAGAAGGATATTCGCAGAGGCCGTAAATGTCTCGTTGACTCACCAGAATCCTCATGGTTGATGGCAGTGATAGAGACAGCAGACTTGTGTGGCTACGATACAAACTTTGATGCTTATATACCGTCAACGCTGCTAGTCCCTCCCATATCCACCCATTCCATTACCTTACCCATCCCTTTGATATACATCCCAACATTATCGTAATGTACCTTAATTATCTATTCTGAGGCTTAGTGTGCTGTCGGCTTACACAAGGTCGTATATCCTTCGCAGTTTCCTATGTTTTGTGTTGGTTTGTTTTGTGTTCCAAACTGAAATTCTTGCCATATTGTTCGTGCATGACTCTCTCTCTCTGTTCACCGTTATCTATTGTAGTTCACTAGACTCATACAACATGTCAACCTTGTAGCGTAATCATTAACGTATCCTGCTACCAAAAATTACAAAGTTTACGTAGCATATTTCTTCACTTTTATTCACCAGTGATCCTCAACTCTATTAATAAATAAAACTTTTCTTTATTGTCTTTTTTCATATACGGTGCAGTACCTTATAACCTAAAGTTCGCTACTTTATTCACATCTTAATCCCACAGACTTATGTTTAATCTCTCTCCCGACTTTTCCCCCGAATTATCCCTATTGTAAAATTTCTTCTCTTCCTCCTTAATATTTCCGTTTCATTAACACATATTCCTCCATATCCTCACTTCAGAAATCTCCCACATCCACTGCTCTCTGGTCCTTTTACCCATGTAGGTCTTCCACAATTCCCTCCTTTAATCCCTTTCACTGTTACCTCCTCCTCCCTTTCTAAATCCTCTTTCCACGGTCATCTCACGTATAGCTGCCTTCAGTCATCTTATTTGTTATCTTATCATAATTTCGTCTAGCAGGTCTCTCTCTCTTATACGTTCAATACCACATCCTACAGACCCCAGTGAACGCCACATCCTACACATCCCAGTAAACGCCACATCCCACAGATCCTTCTTATACAGTCAACACCACATCCTCCATACCATCCTCGTAAGCCTTACCAAGATCTCCACCCATGCCCCTCACGCAGGATCTCCCTCCTCATCCCAGATTTCCTTTCCACAGTAATCCTCCGCTAGAGTTCCCTTCTATAGCCTCCAGCAGTGGTGAAGGGCTGGTGACAGTGTCTTAAGAGAGAGTCTTGAGGATACAACAAAACAAACTGTTAGGTCAGGAACTCTCACTTATTCAAGTTACTGAAGAATGTAAGTTGATAACGAAGAAGATATTTCAACACGCATTGTCATTTATCCTTTACATGATGTTATCAATATAAAACTTCTCTTGAACATGGTATTCGTGCATATGTTCCGGTCTTATAAAAGCATTTTAGCAGCAGTAAATGTATTGAATTTTATAAAATAAAAACTAAAATGATAATTTTTTTTTTATTTTGAGTTCGGTATTGGTGAAGATTTAGTCTGGTTCTCCTGACACCCCTGTCTGTCAGATGCCGTCAGCTCCCCCATGTCCCCGCTGTTGTTACGTCACTGCCCGGCTAGCTTAGTCCTTCCAGTTAAGGATAATCCCCCCTCGTCCTCTCTCACTAGCTCTTTGTACACGTTTGATGTGTACGTAAATAAAGAATAAAAACGCACCTTTACCATTACCTTGTTACTGGACACAACTCAAACATCCGATGCTCGACGCTCTGACTTAAGAGACAAAAAGGCGCCTGGATACCTGAGATCTGAGTCGGTCCCTTGATACCTAAAGGAAGTGAAGCGGTGAGAAATAATGGTAAAACAAAACCTTTTCTTTTCCTGCCGGTGAAAAAATTGGGAGCTCTTCGTGGTAGAGGAACTGTGGGAGAAAACAAGCAAATGGAAATTCAGTGTCCCTAGTCAAGAGAGAGAGACCGTCCACTGCAGCCATTGAAGAAGTTGAGGGAGGAGTGGAAGGTTGAGGAATCTATTTCTCTTCCACGACAGAAAATTGTCCTTCCAGTGGGCCTTTTCCGTAGTTTCTGGCTTTACACCGTTGGGTCTTGACTATTTTTTTTAAAGACCAAAGTTGGAATGAAACAAGCAGTCCACCTTACAGTATTTAATGCATGTAATAAAAAATTGACTTATGAATGTTTGTACCCCGACACCAAACGAAAGATTCTCGTGTGCAGGTAACTTAGCAGACTCAGGCAGGATAGTCAGTCATCAAAGGCGCTGGCTGCCACAATTCTGTTTCCTTACCCATAAGGATATTATAAAGAAGCTTTCATCAAGAAGCTTTGCCCAGGGAAGCCGTTGATTACGGAGCTTAGGCCCAGGAGAGTTTCATGCGCAACAGCGAGCACAAACCCTTCATGCACTTAACTAATTTGTGATCCTAAGTGAGGCAATATACCGAACCTGACGATACCAAGTATAATTGACTTACCGAACATACGGTCTTCCTTTACGATGTTCACTTTTTCCAGTATCTGATTTATAATGTCATTGCTCCTCACCTGAGAAACACAACTAACACGAAGATAAATTTAGAACAGAAGACTGGGATCACCTGAAGATTAACCAGCAAACTTATTTCAAGATGTTTAAACACCCTAGCGCTAACCTAACCTAACCTAATTAAAACTAAGCTCGGGACTAATCTCCAGGTGATATGAAGATTTTGAAACGTGTGGATGTGTTGGGTGACATAAATGGAAGATGATGATAAAAATTAATAACTTTTTTTATAATTCAGATGAGAAGGTTTTTCTGGGTATTGTTTTTAATCTTAAGTTACGTATAGAAGTAATTTATATGTGTTTATCGAACTCCCCATCACAATCATACCTTTTTTTTTCATATACAGTATCTACCTATCCCTCATCCGTACAGGTAACAGCAAAGATTACACGTCCTTGCATTCCAGTGACCAACATAATTTCCTCCATATTGTGACTTCATGAACCAGATATGTAGTACTGTATTGTTGTGTTCCGGTCTGTGTTAGTAGTTGTGAAGCAGCCATCTACCTCGCCCACCTCTCAGACCTATAACTTCATCAGCAGCTATTTTTCTCACGAGGATTGTAATTCAAGGACGAAATTGTAAGTTTTTTTTTCTTCCTTTCTATCATTATTATTACTTTCAGTCATCCTCCCCTTATTTACTCTCTCTCTCTCTCTCTCTCTCTCTCAACAACTTTCTTAACCTTTATTTAAGCCATGACTCATTTACATTATCTTAACGGTAACAAGGAAAGAAAATGCTGTCACATTCACTCGTGTGTGTGTGTGTGTGTGTGGGGACGGACAATTTCACAGGCCCCTCCCACCCGCCCTGTGCCAGCCTGGGGAGAGACAATCAGGCCCTAATCTAATTCTTTTCCCCCGGGAGAATCGTGTTCTTGGACCCAGTGTGATGTAGGGACTAGCAAAAACATCCTATCACGGCAGTATCTTAATAGCAAAAACATCCTATCACGGCAGTATCATAATAGCAAAAATATCCTATCACGGCAGTATCATAATAGCAAAAACATGCATCACAGCAGAATCTTACTAGCAAAAACATCTATCACGGTAGATCCTTCACAAAATCTATTTTAATTTGTCTGGTACGGGGCAGTAACTTTAGCTGTGTTGTACTCTTATTAATAATACATTGAACTGTTGTGTTGCTGTAATTTGGGCTGCTGGCTTATACGAAGAGCAGTATTAATGTTTTAGGGCCATTACTGCAACGTGAAAATCGCAACGTTTGTATCCCGTTTTCTATGACTCAGCGCTCACTTGTGTCACATTTTCTATAGATATATATGACTTAATAGCTGATCAACGGCTTTCTGGATATTTAATGTTTACTTTTCTAGTTTTTCAGTTCGTTATCGTGATTGGTTCAACTTAATCTAAAAATAAAAATATATGAAACGATTTTTTATATAATTTTCATCCGTAAACTTTGTAGTCATTTTTTTTTAATTCATTGAAACATTTCCAAATTGGTTAACAAATACAAATTTTATTAAGTTGAAGCTCCTGAGTCATAATTATCTGTGTTAACGTAATGGCTCTGGAGTTTTTTAACCGCTTCTAAAGTTTTCATCCGACAGAGCCATGGAGTAGATTAAAAGTATTACATGTTAAGTTATAAAAGGAAATTCTATCACTGGTGCTGCACGAGTTTAGGCAGCCGTGTTGCTCTTGTCTTATGGTTGAAAAATCTACATATAATGAAAACATTAAATAAACAGCGTCATTTACCAATTTAACTGACCCAACCTAATTCTTATATAGTTTGGTTATCATAGTAAATGACGCCTACAATGAAACGAAGCAAGGTCTCTCTCTCTCTCTCTCTCTCTCTCCCATGGTGTTTTTTATTCAACATATGCTTTATCGTTCATCACACACACACACACACACACACACACATCGTATATCTTGAAGGTTTTAGAATATTTCGACAGTTGAGTGTATTATGACACAAAATACTTAGACAAATACATCGTCCCATAACACACACCCTCACACAACATACATTACTTCTCGTATACATATATTTACACAAGAACAAAAGCTCTCCCCTTGTAGCTGCACTTCCTTGAGTAATCAGGGGTAGTCTTGGTGTGGGCCAACTGCAGCTTCACTAACATCAAAGGTGACGAAGGTGATTTCTACATTATTAACCACACTACAACACACACACATGATAACCTAAATGGCTTTCCTAGTGTAGGTTGAGAATCACAGGTAATCTATATCTCATTAATATATCAGTTTTGGGCAGGTATATGTCCAGATAGAGAGGCAGCTCGCCACAGATAACTCTCTCCTCATTACGACAGATAAGATGTGTTCCTGGTGGTTAGCTGAGTCCGCCGCAGGTATTACTCACCCTCACCACAACACTCCATCATGATCAAGGTGCCGCTTCAGTGTAGGTCCTTCACAAGTCTTACTCACCGGTTCACCAAACTCATGCTGATCATTCTTTTTTATACGCTCCGGTTGGATAGTGAATAACGGCATTTACTCACTTCGTCTAGAATTCACTCGACAGGTACCGGTACTATACTGGTTTGTGTCAGAGTAAACATCGTGTATGAAAAAATATAAAAGTACCCCCTGATGTATCTTGGCTGGGGTGGGTGTTAGGTGAAGAAATTACATTAAAATTAGGATAAAGTGAGTCATAAAACCTTTAAAGTTAAGGTCACGAATCGGAATCAAGATTAATGTTTGGAGTCAATGTAGTTCCATGGTAGAAGTTCTGTGGGAACGGCGAGAGAAGGTCCATAGTAATTATTCAAGGTGAAGATAAGGTTAATCTTTCGCACAGTAAAGGTGGCACCTGTTTAAGGTTTGAGGTATTTGGTATAATGTGTGTCAGTCCATCTTGTTTTCTCTTCTCAAAATCTACTATTTTATTTCGTTTCCATGTTCTTGTTGATTTTTGACTTGAGGGAAAAGGAGTATGAGTTTGATCATCTCATCACCCTTCTCATATCTGCGTCACAGTAAGCACACACAGTAATTTAACCTAAGTCAGCTATATTAAGTGATGGGTGTTTAACCAGAAGTATAAAAGTGATTGTGACTTTAATCATTGAGTAAAGTAAATAAATATAATTAATGATTTTATATTATTTTTCTCTTACTTCAATAACAAAAGTTGCCTTCAGACTGCAGGTGTAGCTCATTGAATTTCATATTTACTCTTTGCTAAAAATAAGAAAACAAAAATTAACGGAAATGGAAGATCATGAAAATATGCACAGATTATTTTCGACTAATTCTGGCATATCACGACTTACAAGGCCAGTGAGTATGTGGGGATGTAAGGGAGCGTGGAGGCAAGGGTGGGTGTGGCCAAGGTGCTGGAAGTATATATTGAGTGGGCGGGCACCAACCTCACCACACAGACACACACACACTCTCTCTCTCTCACAACTACGTCCCACCACTAGTCATGAAGACACTGGTAACCTTCCATATATATTATCCTAGAACCTTCCCAGAGACGAATATTTTATAACAGTTTGTAACAACAGTCAGTACATAATGATTGAAGCATTTCATGGATAAGATAAAGGATAACGGGAAGATTAGACACTGCAGCTTATATCATCTTCAAATTAACTACCTTAACGCTAACCTAATCCCCTCACTAGTATGTGTTAGGGTATTCAATCATCAGGTAAAATAATCTTGGGGCTAATCTTCAGGTACTACAGATAAAGTAACAAACTTATCAACAGGTAATGTGTGTTTATACTTACAGATCGTTCTTCTGTTGGTTGCCTTCGTGGCAGCAGAGCAGAAACGTGAGGCTGGACACTACCGTGGTCTCCACGGTTACAGCCGTGGGTATTCAAGTCGTCCTCATTACATGTATGGGGTCAAGCCAGCGTATAGTGTCAGTATCGATTATCCGGTCTATGCCTATCGTGTCAAGTCTGTCTCCCCGTACGGCGCCAACTCCTACCACCCTATTCATAAGCGTGAAGCAGAGCCCAGTTACGGCCTCGGTCACCAGCTAGTGCACGGCCTTGGCTACTATGGGCGAGGAGCTGCTTACGGCTACCAGACCTCCGTGTACCACCCTGGCTATGGTCACTCCCACCAGTACAACCGTGGTGTTGTCTCACCTGGCTCTTTCAACTACTAGATCCTCATTTTACTGCCATTATCTGACTTGTTTAAACGGTACTATTTTTTGTTTTAATATTTCCTTCACAACAACACATTTTTTTTTACTCCTGAGAAATTTTAAGTTTGTAAATAGAAAAGAAATTCTAAATGAAAACTATTTATCCATAGCACAATGGAATTTTGGCTTTGTTGATATTATGTTACCAAGTCAACCTGCCATTGACGATGATACTTGAATTTCGAATAAAGGAATTTTGTATTATATTCAGCATTTTATTAAATCATAAGAGTAGTAATGTGATATGCTTTATTTGACGTTTATTGTCATTACTGAGCTTCAATAACTAAGGTCTTTCAGTGTATAACTAATCTGCTAAAGAATTCCAGCAAAGAAGACAAATGGACGCCGTCAAATCTTACCCGTTTTAATCCCTTGAGTACGATGTCTGCTCTCTGAGTACAGTGAATTATCCCAGTGAGTAAGATTAATAAACCCCTTGAGTTTGATAACTTAATCTCTGGTGTATATATATACATTGGGAATCCTTTGAGTAAGATGTTTTAAATCTTTCAGTCCGGTGACCCATTCTCGAGTTCAAATACATTAAACCCTCGTATTGAAGTGGTTATTCTGATAAAAACTATGACGTGTACCAGAGCACTGTGGTACTGAACACCCTTGCCAAATATCAATAAGATCTTATAGCAGCAAACTTTGGTGTTGACGGACACACAAACACACAAGAACATACTGGCGGATAAACATACAACTTCACTCCGGACATCACGACAAATGTAATTACTTTATTGCGATTTTTTATTGTTATCTTTTAAGAAAGACATGAAGTACAGCCTATCAAAACAAAGTCGTTAGTAGAATAGAATGACAGGTGGCAGGCGTGGGAGTATACATCAGGTGTAATCAGGTGTTGACATTATACTACTGGTACTGTTAATGAGTTTGTCTTATGGCTATGTGTTGACAGGATTTTGTGATGTTATCTCTGTAAACAAATATCACCTGTGCTCGCTAGGCCACGATGGGTTAAAATCTATCCCCTCATATACTAATGGTATCTGTTGACGCACTTTGCCCTGTAATGAAATGTGACACGTCAGTATACAACTATCAAGGAGGAGGGTTATGATAGAGGATAGTGAGGACACATTGATATTCTTCTGTTCTTCTACTTGATGTTAAGTTAATCTTTAGAGAATTTTCACTAGTCAGTTAGTCATTCAGTCAGTTAGTGAAGCTTTAAATCAGTGCATCAGCCAGTCAGTCAAGCAGAAGGACAGTGTATCAGTCAATCAGTCAGTCAAGCATTAAGTCAGTCAATCAAGCAGGACTGTATCAATCAGTGAATCAGTCAAGCATTAAGTCAGTCAATCAAGCAGGACAGTGTATCAATCAGTGAGTCAGTCAAGTATTAAGTCAGTGCATCAATCAATCAGTCTACCAGTAAATCAATAAGTCAACCACCCAATTACCCATTTAAACAATCAGGAGTTGTGCAATACTAACAGATTTAACTGAAGTAGCTATACATTAAAATAATAAACTCCTCCAGGCAGTTCAGGTACGGTCCCAAGGTTATGAGAGAGTCGACCCCACGTACTGACCGCCAGGAAGCTAGATGATTCATCTTAACTGTACACTCTCCGACTTAACCCGTGATTTGCATAGATATATGATTGTGGGTGTGTGGAAAGATATGCCGTTGTGGCATAGGTGTTTGTAGGCGTGGTGGTGGGTAAGGTGGTGGTTGTGTAAAGGGTGGTGGTGGTGTAGGTGTGGTGGTTTGTTGTAGTGTAGGTTGTGGTAGGTGTGGTGGTTGTGTATGTGTGGTGGTGGTTTGTAGGTGGTGTGTAGGTAGGTGGTGTTTGGTGTAGTAGGTGTGGTGGTTTGGTGTGGTGTGGTGTGTAGGTGTGGTGGTGTAGGTGTGGTGGTGTGTGTGTAGGTGTGTAGGTGTTGTGTAGCTGTGGTGGTTGTAGATGTGGTTTTGTATTTGTGGTGGTTTTGTAGGTGTGGGTGTGTGGTGGTGTAGGTGGTGGTTTTGTAGGTGTTGTGTAGGTGTGGTGGTGTGTAGTGTGGTGGTTGTGTAGATGTGGTGGTTTTGTATTTGTGGTGGTTTTGTAGGTGTGGTGGTTTTGTAGGTGTGGTGGTTATGTAGGTGTGGTGGTTGTGTAGGTGTGGTGGTTTTGTAGGTGTGGTGGTTATGTAGGTGTGGTGTTGGTTGTGTAGGTGTGATGGTTATGTCTAAGTTTGGTAGGTGTGTAGGTGCAACAGCCGTGTGGGTGTGGTGGGCATGGAAGAGTGGCGTAGGGGCGGGGTAGAGGTTTTCATGGGGGTGTGACGCCTTCAGTGTCACACCATCGCGCCACACGCCTGACAACCATGTGGGTCAGCCGTCATACACAATTACCACCATGGGAATCTTACTGTACTTATTACATGCGTCAGTCGCATATTTGACTATCATTCTTGACTGACTGACCGACTGACTGATTGACTGACTTATTGATTGACTGACTGACTTACTGACTGATTGACTGACTGATTTACTGATTTATTTACTGATGACTGACAGACTAATCTATTGATTGCCATTCGTGACTGACTAACTGGGCTACTGACTGACATTCTTGCTGACAGGCTAACAAAAAGAGTGACTGGCTGACTAATAGATGCAAGAAGTTGGTGGTGATTTATAGGAGGTAAAAGGCGTTATTATATACTATTATGAGACATATTACTAAGATTCTAAATCACTGAACATCTTCCATTAGTATTAATCACTGGACTCCGTGTGAGATAGGTAAACATGGGTTTGGAAATAGAGTAGTGGATGAATGTAACAAGTTACCAAACATCATCGTTAACTCGAATAAGCTGGATAGCTTCAAACATAGGTTGGATGGATATATGAGCGATAGGGGTTGGGTGTAAATGGGACTGCCCAGTCTGGGCCAATAGGCCCGCTGCAGTTTCCTCCATTCTTATGTACGACAGTGTTATTGTCTTATCCTTGAAGACTTACAGTATATCTAGACACTTTTCTATGTTCTACAACTTTTATAAAATATGTTAAAGAGGATGATATATGGTGTGTTGTTTACGCTGGTAAATGTCTAAGTCTAGATGTTATTGCCATTTTAAATCTCTATTTCCGGGAGAGAGAGATACCCACATTTTCCCATTGCAGACCTATCAAAAAGTTTTAGATAGTCTGTTGGAAAAAATAATCTAATATTCTAACATTTAACAGCTAGTGTATTTCCTAATATAAAAAACTTTTGTTAAAGATCTTAGTTGTTGAAGCGAAATCATACATTTTAACATCAATATCTGTTAATCACTTCTAACGGGCCTTGTGTGTCTATCTATAGCTAAGCGACCTTCAAGTTTGCGGTACAGTTTCACGTTAGCGACGAGGTCGGTGAGGGGCTTTGGGCGGGGCCAGACTCCACGTTGTATATATAGAAAGACGAGAATACTGCCTGACACAGCCACTTCACTACCGACAGCCAACCATGAGGACTCTGGTAAGATGCTCAACAAACCTTATAGCTGTTCTATCCCATTTACTAAAAGATGCCAGCAGGCGTATCAGATAATATGACAGAATAAAATACATAATTGTGAAGTTTGTTGAGTTCATTAATATTTCTCTCCCTCAGATCGTTGTACTGTTGGCCGCCTTCGTGGCAGCAGAGCAGAAGCGCGAGGCTGAGCCCTCATACGGCCTCACTAACTACGGCCACGGTTATCGTTACGGACATGGGCACAGCTACGGCTACAGACCAGTGGCATCTTACCACCCCTACGGCCTCCATTCCGCCAGCCACTCCTACAATCATATCCTTCACAAGCGTGATGCTGAACCTTCCTACGGGCTCGGGTATGGCTACGGCCATGGCTTAGGCTATGGCCATGGTTATGGCTACGGGCACGGTATTGCTCACCACCCATACCATGGCCACTCCTATGTTCACTCCCATGGTATTGGCAAAAGAGCTGCTGAGCCCAGCAATATCTATGGTTACCCTGGGTATGGGTATGGTCACGGTCTCGTCCATGGCCACGGAGCAGTGTATGGCTACAACACGGGCGTCCACCACCCTGGGTATGGCCACTCCTACCAACACAGATCCGGTGTTGTGCTTCCTTCTTACGGCTACTATTAAAACTGTTCTGTCATGTTGCACTGAAATAAAACTAAAAGTTTCATTTGTTGCTGTTTTTGCCTCTGTTTTGTGTGATATTTTGTCGAGATGGAAGCATTGGAAGCATAATGTGCTGTCTAATGGTAGACCCTGCTGCTATATTGCATCACGAAAATTGTGACCAAGTCCCAGGTTGCTCATCTGACTTTCTGCCTCATATACATACAATTGCAGGGTCTCTATTGTTTCTCCTATTCTGACAACACAACATACATATATTGTTTCTCACCATTGATCTTTTTCATTTTTTTTATTTATTTATGGCTCTATTATTATTATTATTATTATTATTATTATTATTATTATTATTATTATTATTATTATTATTATTATTACCAGTATTCTTTTTATTATTGTTATTATTTTATTTTTAATTTGTAGTATAAATTTTAATTACTATGAACAAAATATTATTATAATTGTTATTATTATTACATTTTCGTCCTCCAGGCCCCGATGTGGGTCAGTGACCTGTGCCCGGATGGGCTAATGCCCGTAAAAAAAAAAATATAAAAATATAAAAAAATATTGAAACGAAAAAACTTTATTTTAATTTACTCTCCTATTATTTATTTTGTCGGGAAGTGTTATAAATCTTAAACAGGAAAGTACCAGCAGTACCAGTCAGTATTACTCTTGTTATGTAAACAATAATGCAGTAATGTCAAGCATTAACCACACTCATAATTTTTCAGTGTTCCCAATAATAACAGCTTTACCTTACTGTTTTTGTGTGTATTAAGATTCTCTCTTAGCATGTTTCAGGACAAAGTCTAAGAAATATTCTAAAGTTTTTAAGGTGGTCCTCCCTGTTATCAGTCGTCGTCAGAGCCTCCAGGAGACCACTGGGGCTGAGAAACTTGTTATCATTGGCGCGTGCATGACACGCGGGCCTCATTCTCACGAGCGTTTTGTTTTAATTATGCCACACTTGCTGCGCGATTTAGAAATTAATGGGGTACATTGGGAATTTTCACACGGACTTACGCAAAAAAAAAGAAAAAAAGAAAAAAGATTACGTTGATGCTGACCGAACGCTTGTACAGTTCCCTTCACTCCCTCTTTCAACAGTGAAGCAAGACTGCGTTTAGTTGCACCTTGGTGGGCCCTAGTCTGCGTAACACTGCAAAAACTTCTAATCGTCGACTACGCTGCCGTTCAGTTGAAAAGATATTACTTCGAGTGCTACGAGTCCTTTAACTAAACGCAGTCGTGGTTCTCTGTTAAAGGTGGAAGTGAAAGGAACTGTACAAGCGTTCGGTCAGCATCAATGTAATAGTTTTATTTATTGCGTACGTTCGTGTGAAAGGTCCTATTAAACTCCAAAGATTTCTAAATCGCAAGGCAGTGTCTCATGATAAACAAAAAACAGCTCATAAAAAAGCCTAAGTGTCGATTATTATAGCACCTACCATAGGCCAGTGGGAGCACCATCCTGGTGGCTTCCTCGACTACTGATGAAAGGTAAGACCACCTCAAATTTTTAGGTTATTTTTTACCATCTTATCCTACTGCACCTCAGACACAATCTTAATACATAGAGATATAGTGAGGTCAAGCTGTTCTTACTGAAAACACTGAACGATTATGAAGGTACAGTTGATGTATGACTTCAGTACGTTATGCTTTACATAATAGCAGTAACACTGTGATTGGTACTGATAATATGAGTGTATGTTTTCATCATTCATTAATTCTCACATGTTTAAGGTTCATAACAATTCCTGACATGAAAGTTTTACCCAGTGATAAACTGGGAGAATGAATTAATAAAACTTTCGATCGTCTCAACATGCTTCCACCTCAACAAAAATCACACAAAATAGAGGAACAAACAACAGCAAATGAAAGTTTAGTTTTATTTCAGTGCAACATGACAGAACAGTTTTAATAGTAGCCGAAATAAGGATGTACAGATCTGTGTTGGTAGGAGTGGCCGTACCCAGGGTGGTGACCGTACCCGTACCCAGAGTAACCATACATATTACTGGGTTCAGCAGCTCTCTTGCCAATACCATGGGAGTGGACGTAGGAGTGGCCATGGTAGGGGTACTGATTAATACTGTGTCCGTAGCCATAACCCATGCCATATCCAGAGCCATGACCATAACCAACGCTATGTCCGTAGCCATACCCAAGGCCGTAAGAGGGTTCAGCGTCACGCTTGTGAAGGATATGGCTGACGGAATGGATGCGATAGGGGTGGTAAGATACTACGGGGCCATAGCCGTAGCCGTGCCTATGCCCGTAACTCATGCCGTGTTCGTATTCATAATCGCGGCCATAGCTTGTGAGGCCATATGAGGGCTCAGCTTCTCGCTTCTGCTCTGCTGCCACGAAGGCGGCCAACAGTACAACGATCTGAGGGTGAGAAATAGTAGTGAACTGAATCAAACTTCACAATAATGTATTTTCTTCAATGACATATATTCTGATATGCCGACTGGCAACTTTAAGTAAATGAAGCAGAACAGCTGTAAGGTTTGTTGAGCATCTTACCAGAGTCCTCATGGTTGGTTGTCGGAAATGAAGCGGCTGTGTTGGCAGTATTCTCGCCTCTCTATATACTGTATACAACGCGTAGAGTCACGCCCCGTCCTAACCCCCTCATCAACTCCCTCATTGACCTCGTCGTTAACAGGAAATTTTACAGAAAATTCTCAGGTTTTTAAACTATAAAAAGAGACACAAGGTTTGTTATTAATGATTCAAAAATCTTGAGTTTCAACAAAACATCGTTGGAGACCAAGTACCGGGAAATACAGAACTACTGATTGTGGAAGTTCAAACACGACCTGTGTTGTGGGATTCTCCATAATGAACAAATGGAGTTGAACTGAAGCGCACCAAGAAAAAAAAAGCATGTGCGAGCATAGATTTTTACATACAGTAATAGACACGTGTATATTATGTCTCAATACAGAAAAAAAACTCGTGTAAAGGAGGCCTTAGGCAAAAACGTTAGTGATAGGAATAATGTCACAGTGGGGAGCAGAATAAGAGGACAAGGTGTATCCGTTTCTGATGTCTTAAACTAATGCTATTGCTGCAAATATCGGTCCAATAGTTAAAAAATGTATATCCAAATCTACCTTGATCAATATACAGTTTTTTTCTTTCATTATTTTACTCTTCAGACATCCACGTTTAAACAAATAACAAATTTAAAATAAAAAAAATCATGGATTTAAAAATTTACTTCAATCACACATTGGAATATTTTCTGCATGTTGTTATTATTATTATTATTATTATTATTATTATTATTATTATTATTATTATTATTATTATTATTATTATTATTCAGTATTAAAAATCAAAAGAATCTCCCACAGAGGACTCTAGCAGACTTTATTGTTGACTTTGACCTAAAATGTTTTGTCTCTTATCCATGTCTTATCGTTGATGACTTATATTGAGACATACGTTTTATGAAATATGTTAAAGAAGATTATACATGAATGATGATTTTTTTGGTAAATTTCCAAAGTCTAGTCGTTATTATCGTTTAAAATTCTTTATCTCCAGGAAAGAAGTACTTACATCTCCTCAGTGCTGATTACTGAAAAAAGTCCAATTTGTTAAAAAAAAAAAAAATGATGCATGGTATATTATCTAATTCTCAAAAATTTATGACCAATGCATTTTCTAATCTAGAATATGCGCCAACATCCCTTAGTTGTTCCCAGTAATAACACCAATATCTGTTAACTACCTATGATAGGCCTTGTGTGTCTATCTATAGCTGAACGATTTAAGAGTTACTGTAAAATTTCACGTTAGCGACGAGGTCACCGTCAGTGAGGAAGTCGGCGAGGGCTTTAGGGCGGGGCTAGACTCCACGTTGTATATATAGAGAGGAGAATACTACCCTGACACAGCCGCTTCGCTACCGACAACCAACCATGAGGACTCTGGTAAGATGCTCAACAAACCTTATAGCTGTTCTATCCCATTTACTAAAAGATGCCAGCAGGCGTATCAGATAATATGACAAAGAATAAAATACATAATTGTGAAGTTTGTTGAGTTCATTAATATTTCTCTCCCTCAGATCGTTGTACTGTTGGCCGCCTTCGTGGCAGCAGAGCAGAAGCGCGAGGCTGAGCCCTCATACGGCCTCACTAACTACGGCCACGGTTATCGTTACGGGCATGGGCACAGCTACGGCTACAGACCAGTGGCATCTTACCACCCCTACGGCCTCCATTCCGCCAGCCACTCCTACAACCATATCCTTCACAAGCGTGATGCTGAACCTTCCTACGGTCTCGGGTATGGCTACGGCCATGGGTATGGCTTAGGCTATGGCCATGGTTATGGCTCCGGGCACGGTATTGCTCACCACCCATACCATGGCCACTCCTATGTTCACTCCCATGGTATTGGCAAAAGGTCTGCTGAGCCCAGCAATATCTATGGTTACCCTGGGTATGGGTATGGTCACGGTCTCGTCCATGGCCACGGAGCAGTGTACGGCTACAACACGGGCGTCCACCACCCTGGGTATGGCCACTCCTACCAACACAGATCCGGTGTTGTGCTTCCTTCTTACGGCTACTATTAAAACTGTTCTGTCATGTTGCACTGAAATAAAACTAAAAGTTTCATTTGTTGCTGTTTTTGCCTCTGTTTTGTGTGATATTTTGTCGAGATGGAAGCATTGGAAGCATAATGTGCTGTCTAATGGTAGACCCTGCTGCTATATTGCATCACGAAAATTATGACCAAGTCCCAGGTTGCTCATCTGACTTTCTGCCTCATATACATACAATTGCAGGGTCTCTATTGTTTCTCCTATTCTGACAACACAACATACATATATTGTTTCTCACCATTGATCTTTTTCATTTTTTTTATTTATTTATGGCTCTATTATTATTATTATTATTATTATTATTATTATTATTATTATTATTATTATTATTATTATGATTATTATTATTATTATTACTATTATTATTATTATTATTATTATTATTATTATTAATACCAGTATTCTTTTTATTATTGTTATTATTTTATTTTTAATTTGTAGTATATATTTTAATTACCATGAACAAAATATTATTATAATTATTATTATTACATTTTCGTCCTCCAGGCCCCGATGTGGGTCAGTGACCTGTGCCCGGATGGGCTAATGCCCGTAAAAAAAAAATATAAAAATATAAAAAAATATTGAAACGATAAAACTTTATTTTAATTTACTCTCCTATTATTTATTTTGTCGGGAAGTGTTATAAATCTTAAACAGGAAAGTACCAGCAGTACCAGTCAGTATTACTCTTGTCATGTAAACAATAATGCAGTAATGTCAAGCATTAACCACACTCATAATTTTTCAGTGTTCCCAATAATAACAGCTTTACCTTACTGTTTTTGTGTGTATTAAGATTCTCTCTTAGCATGTTTCAGGACAAAGTCTAAGAAATATTCTAAAGTTTTTAAGGTGGTCCTCCCTGTTATCAGTCGTCGTCAGAGCCTCCAGGAGACCACTGGGGCTGAGAAACTTGTTATCATTGGCGCGTGCATGACACGCGGGCCTCATTCTCACGAGCGTTTTGGTTTAATTATGCCACACTTGCTGCGCGATTTAGAAATTAATGGGGTACATTGGGAATTTTCACACAGACTTACGCAAAAAAAAGAAAAAAAGAAAAAAGATTACGTTGATGCTGACCGAACGCTTGTACAGTTCCCTTCACTCCCTCTTTCAACAGTGAAGCAAGACTGCGTTTAGTTGCACCTTGGTGGGCCCTAGTCTGCGTAACACTGCAAAAACTTCTAATCGTCGACTACGCTGCCGTTCAGTTGAAAAGATATTACTTCGAGTGCTACGAGTCCTTTAACTAAACGCAGTCGTGGTTCTCTGTTAAAGGTGGAAGTGAAAGGAACTGTACAAGCGTTCGGTCAGCATCAATGTAATCTTTTTATTTATTGCGTACGTTCGTGTGAAAGGTCCTATTAAACTCCAAAGATTTCTAAATCGCAAGGCAGTGTCTCATGATAAACAAAAAACAGCTCATAAAAAAGCCTAAGTGTCGATTATTATAGCACCTACCATAGGCCAGTGGGAGCACCATCCTGGTGGCTTCCACGACTACTGATGAAAGGTAAGACCACCTCAAATTTTTAGGTTATTTTTTACCGTCTTATCCTACTGCACCTCAGACACAATCTTAATACATAGAGATATAGTGAGGTCAAGCTGTTCTTACTGAAAACACTGAACGATTTTGAAGGTACAGTTGATGTATGACTTCAGTACGTTATGCTTTACATAATAGCAGTAACACTGTGATTGGTACTGATAATATGAGTGTATGTTTTCATCATTCATTAATTCTCACATGTTTAAGGTTCATAACAATTCCTGACATGAAAGTTTTACCCAGTGATAAACTGGGAGAATGAATTAATAAAACTTTCGATCGTCTCAACATGCTTCCACCTCAACAAAAATCACACAAAATAGAGGAACAAACAAGAGCAAATGAAAGTTTAGTTTTATTTCAGTGCAACATGACAGAACAGTTTTAATAGTAGCCGAAATAAGGATGTACAGATCTGTGTTGGTAGGAGTGGCCGTACCCAGGGTGGTGACCGTACCCGTACCCAGAGTAACCATACATATTACTGGGTTCAGCAGCTCTCTTGCCAATACCATGGGAGTGGACGTAGGAGTGGCCATGGTAGGGGTACTGATTAATACTGTGTCCGTAGCCATAACCCATGCCATATCCAGAGCCATGACCGTAACCAACGCTATGTCCGTAGCCATACCCAAGGCCGTAAGAGGGTTCAGCGTCACGCTTGTGAAGGATATGGCTGACGGAATGGATGCGATAGGGGTGGTAAGATACTACGGGGCCATAGCCGTAGCCGTGCCTATGCCCGTAACTCATGCCGTGTTCGTATTCATAATCGCGGCCATAGCTTGTGAGGCCATATGAGGGCTCAGCTTCTCGCTTCTGCTCTGCTGCCACGAAGGCGGCCAACAGTACAAAGATCTGAGGGAGAGAAATAGTAGTGAACTGAATCAAACTTCACAATAATGTATTTTCTTCATTGACATATATTCTGATATGCCGACTGGCAACTTTAAGTAAATGAAGCAGAACAGCTATAAGGTTTGTTGAGCATCTTACCAGAGTCCTCATGGTTGGTTGTCGGAAATGAAGCGGCTGTGTTGGCAGTATTCTCGCCTCTCTATATACTGTATACAACGCGTAGAGTCACGCCCCGTCCTAACCCCCTCATCAACTCCCTCATTGACCTCGTCGTTAACAGGAAATTTTACAGAAAATTCTCAGGTTTTTAAACTATAAAAAGAGACACAAGGTTTGTTATTAATGATTCAAAAATCTTGAGTTTCAACAAAACATCGTGGGAGACCAAGTACCGGGAAATACAGAACTACTGATTGTGGAAGTTCAAACACGACCTGTGTTGTGGGATTCTCCATAATGAACAAATGGAGTTGAACTGAAGCGCACCAAGAAAAAAAAAGCATGTGCGAGCATAGATTTTTACATACAGTAATAGACACGTGTATATTATGTCTCAATACAGAAAAAAAACTCGTGTAAAGGAGGCCTTAGGCAAAAACGTTAGTGATAGGAATAATGTCACAGTGGGGAGCAGAATAAAAGGACAAGGTGTATCCGTTTCTGATGTCTTAAACTAATGCTATTGCTGCAAACATCGGTCCAATAGTTAAAAAAAGTATAACCAAATCTACCTTGATCAATATACAGTTTTTTCTTTCATTATTTTACTCTTCAGACATCCACGTTTAAACAAATAACAAATTTAAAATAAAAAAAATCATGGATTTAAAAATTTACTTCAATCACACATTGGAATATTTTCTGCATGTTGTTATTATTATTATTATTATTATTATTATTATTATTATTATTATTATTATTATTATTATTATTATTATTCAGTATTAAAAATCAAAAGAATCTCCCACAGAGGACTCTAGCAGACTTTATTGTTGACTTTGACCTAAAATGTTTTGTCTCTTATCCATGTCTTATCGTTGATGACTTATATTGAGACATACGTTTTATGAAATATGTTAAAGAAGATTATACATGAATGATGATTTCTTTGGTAAATTTCCAAAGTCTAGTCGTTATTATCGTTTAAAATTCTTTATCTCCAGGAAAGAAGTACTTACATCTCCTCAGTGCTGATTACTGAAAAAAGTCCAATTTGTTAAAAAAAAAAAAATGATGCATGGTATATTATCTAATTCTCAAAAATTTATGACCAATGCATTTTCTAATCTAGAATATGCGCCAACATCCCTTAGTTGTTCCCAGTAATAACACCAATATCTGTTAACTACCTATGATAGGCCTTGTGTGTCTATCTATAGCTGAACGATTTAAGAGTTACTGTAAAATTTCACGTTAGCGACGAGGTCACCGTCAGTGAGGAAGTCGGCGAGGGCTTTAGGGCGGGGCTAGACTCCACGTTGTATATATAGAGAGGAGAATACTACCCTGACACAGCCGCTTCGCTACCGACAACCAACCATGAGGACTCTGGTAAGATGCTCAACAAACCTTATAGCTGTTCTATCCCATTTACTAAAAGATGCCAGCAGGCGTATCAGATAATATGACAAAGAATAAAATACATAATTGTGAAGTTTGTTGAGTTCATTAATATTTCTCTCCCTCAGATCGTTGTACTGTTGGCCGCCTTCGTGGCAGCAGAGCAGAAGCGCGAGGCTGAGCCCTCATACGGCCTCACTAACTACGGCCACGGTTATCGTTACGGGCATGGGCACCGCTACGGTTACAGACCAGTGGCATCTTACCACCCCTACGGCCTCCATTCCGCCAGCCACTCCTACAACCATATCCTTCACAAGCGTGATGCTGAACCTTCCTACGGGCTCGGGTATGGCTACGGCCATGGGTATGGCTTAGGCTATGGCCATGGTTATGGCTCCGGGCACGGTATTGCTCACCACCCATACCATGGCCACTCCTATGTTCACTCCCATGGTATTGGCAAAAGGTCTGCTGAGCCCAGCAATATCTATGGTTACCCTGGGTATGGGTATGGTCACGGTCTCGTCCATGGCCACGGAGCAGTGTACGGCTACAACACGGGCGTCCACCACCCTGGGTATGGCCACTCCTACCAACACAGATCCGGTGTTGTGCTTCCTTCTTACGGCTACTATTAAAACTGTTCTGTCATGTTGCACTGAAATAAAACTAAAAGTTTCATTTGTTGCTGTTTTTGCCTCTGTTTTGTGTGATATTTTGTCGAGATGGAAGCATTGGAAGCATAATGTGCTGTCTAATGGTAGACCCTGCTGCTATATTGCATCACGAAAATTATGACCAAGTCCCAGGTTGCTCATCTGACTTTCTGCCTCATATACATACAATTGCAGGGTCTCTATTGTTTCTCCTATTCTGACAACACAACATACATATATTGTTTCTCACCATTGATCTTTTTCATTTTTTTTATTTATTTATGGCTCTATTATTATTATTATTATTATTATTATTATTATTATTATTATTATTATTATTATTATGATTATTATTATTATTATTACTATTATTATTAT